GTATATCTGATCGAGAGATATGCTCGGGGGCGTTTAGACTTATTTGCTCGGATATGATGTGATGGCCTCGGATGACGATTCGAGTGCACGCTTGAGGGTGACGACCCGAGAGCGAGCGTGTGACTTCCCGGATACCGTAGCTAGAAGGCGGGTGGCCTAATAGTGAGCCGGTATGACTTGAGGGTTGCGACCTGAGAGCGGGGGAAGTGGTGAGGCTTCTTGGATACCGTAGTTTAAGGCTGAGGCCTGAGGACGAGCCGGTATGATCCACGGGTTGCGACCTATGGACGGGGGAGGTGGGTGTGTATGAGCAAATAGGGTCTGGAACGCGAGTATATTGATTAGATAGGGGCCTCGGTGAGGTCAGTTGTGTACTGACGGTTGTGTTGGAGGATTCGGGGACGAATCCTAATTAGTGGGGGAGAATTGTAACGCCCGTGTCTGGAAATCCGGGTGGTGTCGATCGACACTGTGGTTGGGTGTCGATCGACACTAGTATTTCTGGTTTGACGGTTTAAGTTTTAAATCGTCGGTTCAATTGAGGCTTGGTTTGGGTTGATTAACCCTAGGTCGTGTTTAAAAGAGGGAAGGTCGTGTGTTGTCTCTTCCCAGCCGCTTTTTAACACTTCCAGATTGAGAAAAAGGTTCTAGAGCTTCTGAGGGTTTTTGTGAGTCTTTGGTGGTGCTTGGTGGTGTTCTTGGTGGTTTAAGGCTAGTAGAGGCTAGATCAGTGTTGTGTGGTGTTAGAGGAGACAGATCCTTCCTTGTTCTTCCTTGTTTTCGTTGCTGTTCTTCTTGTTAAAGAGGTGAGTGCATGACCAGGCTTATCTAAGCATGTTTGATCTTTATTTTAGGGTTTTGATGATTGTTTGATTGATTTCCTTTGCTTGTTTGGCTGTTTATTTGATGATTGATGCCTGTGGAATCCTTTGGAGACTCGTTCTTATCGTGGTGGTCTTTTGGAGAAGAGATCCAGTGAGAAACGCAGTTGGAGCGTCTGCTGAGAGTTGGTGTCGATCGACACCAAGGGTGGGTGTCGCTCGACACCAACGTTTCATCGCGCGAGGATAACTGCGTCTTACGATTGGAGTGTCGAGACCGGTGTCGTCCGCGAGGGTCGACAGCGAGTGTCGATCGACACCAGTGGAGGGTGTCGATCGACACCGATAGTCAGAAGCGATTCTGGTTTATCTTTTATTGGTTGTTTGGTTCTTTTACTTGGATTATGGTTGAATGTGCTTGTGTGTATAGCCAGTGGTGGTATGATTGCCTCACTAAGTATTTATGAAATACTTATGCATCTATTTCTTTGATGCAGGTAAAAGCAAAGTGTGATCCGTGGAATCATGGCGAGGAGAGGAGGATGATCTAGGCGCTCATTGGTGTTTAGATGATTGTAGGTTTTGTTAGGATGCTAGAATGGAATTTAGAAGCATGTTAGGATGAATTCGTTTCTGGAATATTGATGGTTGAACTTGTTGGATTAATGGAATGGTTTGATTGGAGTTTTATTTAAGTCTTCCGCTGGTTACGTTGAGTTGGTTGTGTTAGTAAAATTGTCTGGGTTGCTTTAAATGGGTTAATCTGGATTGTTTGCATGCAAGTAAAATAAAAAAAAAAATTGGGATGGGTTCTTTCAAATTCCTTGTAATCGACGGGAGATAAGCCAACCAAGATCAATTCTTACACATAGACCGTCGCCGAAAAAGCTTCAGCACACCGTATAGAAATAAAGCTGATGACGTCCTCGCAAGAGAAGAACTAAAGACCGATTCCACTGCTTTAACTAGAACCAACCCCTAAACCAATCAAAGGGAAGATAGAGGGCTCCTAGTAGGTGACTCAGCAAAAAAATGCCATCAAAATGACCCACACCAAGATCGAACCTAGACCAAATCACAACCACGAGCAGATAAGAGGATTCAAAGTAGAGGTATAGCAAAGATCCAGTATCAACTCCCACAAACAGTACAGCCTCTAACGATTCAAACCTCATACACAAACTAAAGCAAATCAATCAAGCCATATGAGAACGGAGAAAGGAAACCAAAACCATGCCGAAATGCCATGGCGAAGTCTACTACTACACCAAACCAAACTAGATCTAGCCAAAACAGAGACAAAAACCAACAGCTAAAAACAGGAGACAAGGAGACCCTCCCATGGCAGCAGCGAGGAGCGCCGACCACCGAAGAGGGTAAGCAAAGTGAAAACGTGGGGTCTCGACGGCTAGGGCGAACTCACAGGCGAGAGCGTTTATTGAGTACTTGTTGAATTTATTGGACTTTTTTTTTTCAATTTTGAACATATTCTTGTTTTGGAAAACTAATATATATATATATAATTTCTTTATGGTTAATTTTTTGACACATGGCAAAATCTTGTCGATAAACTTGACACATGTCATCTTCTTCGGTTTGGGTTTAATAAAACCATTAACCACAAACCTCATTATATAATGAATATGTTATCCTACCATTTTTCCTACAAAATATTTGGTAGGAAAATTTTCCTAATGAAAACCTACTAATTTTTGACGAAAATCAGTTTTCGTAAGAAATAGGAAAAAACTTTCCTACCAAATCTGGTATAAAAAAATCGTAGGAAATATCCTACAAAAATCCTACGACTCTATTTTGCGTAGGAAAATTTCGTAGGAAAACAAAAGGAATATTAAAGGAAATTCATTCTTGTGAATTTGGGAGGAAAGTTACCTTCAAATTATCTACAAAATAGTAGTCGTAGCAAATTTCGTAGGAAATTGAAAAGAATATGCTAGGAAATAGTGTAATAAGAATTTGGTAGGAAATTACTATCCAATTTCCTACGAAACTCACAAATCATTATTTTTAATCTTTAATATTCGTATTATAAAATTTTAAAACACTGAAACGAAAATATTATATGTAACTTATATCATAATAAATAATTTATGTAATAGTTTATAATGCTATTTTAAAAATCTTTATATTGGGTTCTCTAGGGCTTTCAGTTCAAGTCCATTAGCTAAAGCACAACCCTAAATACATATATAAAGGAAAAATTAGTAAATTAGGGTTTTCACAAATAATAAAAGCCGCTTCTTCCTCTTCTTTAATTCAACGCTTCTTCTTTATTTCTTCTTCATGTTTCTATCTTTCTACTTCATTATGGTTCGATGTTGCTATTTTGCTACGTACCATCTAAAGATACCCCTTTTTGCTAACTATGAAGTCAGGTATACCTTTTTTGCATCTCTCTCTTCCTCACTTTGCATCTCTCTCCTCCTGATCTATTATTTTTCTGATTTTATAGCAAAGATTTCAAAGAAAAAGAAGATCTTGGCAAATCCACTGGTTTCTCTATCCCACCGCCACCGCTTCACCTTATCCCACCGCCATTCCTCCGCTGTCTTTTAACTACAACGCAGCTCTTCTAATTGATGAAATCCAGATTGCTAAAGAAAAGGCACAAGGTTCTCTACTCAATAGTGTTGATAATGGTCCTTCTTATGATTATAGTGACAGATCTAGTATTTAGCTCATCTGGTTTGTTCTTTCAAAGAGAAGATGTATTGAAAGCAACGATGTTTGTCTATTTTGGTTTAGGTTGATATTGTAGATATTTAATTTTGGTTTGTAATCTTAACCGATTTGATCCGGTTTGTATTTAGAATTCATTACTATTTTAAAAGAAAAAGAATTGTATTTTTGTTTAATTAATTTGAAAAAAAAATTACAAATTTTAATAGTCGGATTTATTTACATTAATTATAAATTTTACTTTTATTTCGAAATTAATATAATTATTGTAAATTAATTTCATTAATTTTATATTTTATCATTTTCGTAGGAAAATAGTGAGAATTATTTGGTAGGAAAGTGGAAGAAATGTATTTACTACAACTATTTTGGAAGGAAAATGGTAAATAAAATTCCTTCTATTTTCCTACAAAATTTCCTACCCAAAATATTTTGAAGGTTTTTCGTAGGAAATTTCCTACGAAATTATGACCAGGAACAATTTCCTACGGGCGATTTCCTACGAATATTTTTATAGGAAAACGGAAAGAAATACCGGTTTCCTACCAAATTCCTACGATATTTGCGGTAGGAAATCGATCTTTTTCTTGTAATGTATAACTCGTCAATAACCCGTGCCTTGGTGAACCGGGTGGGTTTTATTTTGGAAATAAAATATGGAGTTTTAGTTATTTTTGGAAGCTATAGTTTTTTATTTCATATCAAAATGGCAGACAAACACGATTAAAATAAGTTGTTGTGAATTGTGCATGTTTTATTAGTGGTCTTTTCGTTGTATACTTGGATTAAAAAAATTATATCACTTTATTTTTATTTTTAATCTTTATATTTTGTTAAATTTGACACTGTATAGATAAATTTTAATCAGTTGACCCGTGGTCAAACCTGCTTAGCCCAATAATCCAGTGACCCGAAACGTAATCTGGTTTAAAAATATTGGTTAGATAGTACCTGAAAGAACCCATCCCATTTTTTTTTTAAACATGCAAATCGAATTAACCCATTTAAAGCAAACCAGACAATTTCACTAACACAAACCAATTAACGTAACTAGCGGAAGACTTAATAAAAATCCAATTAAACAATTCCATTAAACTAACAAGTTCAACTAACATTATTCCAGAAACATAATCATCCTAACATGCTTCTAAATTCCAGTTTAACACCCTAACAAATCCTAAAATAATCTAAAACACCAATGAGCGCCTAAATCATCCTCCTCTCCTCGCCATGATTCCACGGATCACACCTTGCTTTTACCTGCATCAAAGAAAAAGATGCATAAGTATTTCATAAATACTTAGTGACGCAATCATCCTACCACTGGCTATACACACAAGCACATTCAACCCTTATCCAAGGAAAAGAACCAAATAACCAATAAAAGATAGACCAGAATCGCTTCTGACTATCGGTGTCGAACGACACCCACCACTGGTGTTGATCAAAGATGCTTAGATAAGCCTGGTCATGCACTCACCTCTTTAAACAAGAAGGAACAGCAACGAACAAGGACTTGCAAGGGTGGAATCGATCTCCACAGATACCAAACACCACAGATCAACCTTCCTCTAGCCTTGAACCACCAAGAACAAGCTTTGATCCCTCTAAAAACCCACTCAAAAGCACCAAAAAGGATCAAACTCATAGATTTTTCGTAAAAAATAATTATAGAAACTTAACAACATATATATATATATATATATTATTTAAGGAGATTGAATTTTGTGTTACATGTTTTTTCAACCATTAGTTTTTGTTAGAGTTCATTTCTAATAATATACTGCATCAATATGATAATATTATTACTTTCAGAATGTTTTTTACAGAAAACTTACTTTTTTTTTTCTCTCACAGAAAACTTACTTTTAAATAGAATATGTATAATAATAATACCTATTTAAAATATAAAATATTCTTCTCATAAATTTATTAATGTAGCAAAATTTTAAAAGTATATACATTACTATATTTCAATACAATAAAATTAATCTAAGCAAAAATATACTCAACGAAAATTTTGACTAACTAACGGTTTAGAATTTAAATAAAAGTTTTTTATATACTAAAATAAACTTTTGAAATGTTTTGATTTGGAAAAGTTTAGGTTGATTTTTTAAAATATCATAAAAATCTTAGATCAAAAAGTTAAAAATTAAAAATATTCGAATACGATATTTTTAAGCAGATATATTTATAATATTTATTATATGCAACGAATTAAATGTAACATGTTATATAATATATAGGATAACTTATAATCTTTATAATAACGGCGAGAATAACTGTAAGTATAAACAAAATCACTATATATAAACTAATATAACATATCAAAATTTTCTTTAAAATGTTAAATATATAAAAACTTATATGAAATCAAATATAATATGTGAAATCAAATATAAGTCTAAAATCAAATATAAAAATTTATATGAAATCAAATATAAGTTGTTTTCAAACGTACCAATCTGTCTAATATTTTCTCCTTCTAAAGAGATTTGGACATGACCCTTATCCAGACACAGGTGAAATACACGAACAGACTGGTGTTTGGTTTCCTCAGTTAGTGGCAAAGGCAAGCAGTGGTTGCTGTCTGACACGTGGAGCTGTCACAGACCACTAGAAGCAGATACGCCACTTCAGCTCTATAACTTAGATTTTGCTTCACTTATCTGAAAATCAAAGATGTCTTGGTGCCACATCATTCTGACCAAAGATGTCTTGATGCCACATCATTATGACCAAAGTTGTGGCGCTCCAAATGGATACACCATAGAAATATAAACTCAAAAACACGTAAGCCAAAAGAGATCTATCACTTGTCTATGCTTTCTTCACATGTCTTATTCACTAGTGTCAACGTGCATATAAACTCTAATCCTTTGGATTACAAGTAGCGAATCAAATAGCTTGGTTATTTCTTGACTAAAATATTATTATTATTATTGTTACATATATAAAACTTAATATGCCTTTCACAAGAATCTATAATAAAAGTATAATTCCTATAAGTTAATATCGGAAATTATTTTTTTGCGAAGTTAATATATTTTTCGATTTTTAAACTTTTTATTTCAATTGACATATTGATATTATAATTTTAATATTATTAATGTATAGAAATTTTACTGAGGCAGTAAAATTTTAATTAATTAAATTATGAAAGATATCAATTAGTTGGTTGACACGCATTAAATATTTAAATTTCATATATATATATATATACGTTACATGTGTCAACGATGAATCAATAAAGGTTTATATTAACTAGTTTGTTTATATGTGAATATGAGACCTTTTAAGAATTTTCATTTCTCAATAGTTTTTTCTATAAAATTTTTAAAATGCCACTAAAGTTTTGATATTTATCCAAACTACATGTATAAGCAGCATACATAAATTACTTTTATATGTGTAAATGTTATAGAGACTTCATAAATATTTTATAAATAGTTCAAATATCTTTTTTATAAATATTTTATAAAACCTTCTAAAATATTATTAAACTTTATAAATACCATATAAAAAAATCCTTAAGGCATTAGCAAAAAGTATGTTACATCTTACAGAATGAACTTTATTAATCATTTTGACTCTTAGGGGGATTAAAAAAATATGTACTTTTAGCTAAAATATCTTTTTCTTTTTCAAAAAACATCTTTTTGTAAAAGCATTTAACTAAAACAGTTAGATAAACTAACTTTTCATTATTTCTTTTATATGAGGAATAGGGATGTACCCGCACGTATGTGCGATATTGATTCCAAAACCTAAGTTTATCATAAAGTTTGCAGTATTCAGATCGACATGATAAGAGACTCGGATCGAGTGTGAACTGGATTAGTGATAAGTTAGAAATCAATTAAATTCGTGAACTATCACATCACATAAAAAAATAAAAAATTAAAACTTTTGAATAAAATAACATAAATATAGATGTCAAAAGAGTTAAACCCGTTCACTATGCATGTCTTGCAACAAAATGAAATATTTTGGCCCACCCACATGAATAAATGATATGTCTTCTGCTCGCATGTTACCCATAATTCCGTTCTTTATATTATTAGAAATAGTTAAGATAATAATTTTTATTTTCTAAATTACCCATTCTCTTTCCGTCTCCGTTATTTATTTTCCCGATATTTGAAATATTTAAGTAATTTGAAACTTACTTTTGCTATTTAAATTTCATATTCATGTATCATCCACCCGTCATTTGATATTTGAAAGTTGAAATTGAATTTATGTTTCCAAATTTTTATATCATCTTGTTTTTGATGAGAAATAGTTTAGATATTTTTTTTTTAATTACCCGTTCCCTTTATGTACCCGTTCTTTCCATTTAAGATAAGATCATATTTTTTATATATAAATGACATCATTTACATGTTTTTTGTTTTGAAAACAGCATTATATAATATGTAATTATCTAATTAAATTATCCATCCGTTCTCTTTCCATATCCGTTATTTCTTCTCCTGATATTTGAAATATTTAAGTAATTTGAAACTTACTTTTGCTATTGAAATTTCGTATTCTTGTTCATACCCGTCGTTTGATATTTGAAAGTTAAAACTGAATTTAAGTTTCCAATTTTTTTATATCGTCTTGTTTTTGATGAGAAATAGTTTAGGTATATTTTTTTGAATTACCTGTTTCTTTTTTGTACCCGTTCTTTCCCTCTAAAATAAGATCATATTTTTTTTATATATAAATGGCATCATTTACATGTTTTTTTTAAAACAACATTATATAGCCTGTATTTAACAACATTAAAAAAACCAATACCGTTAATTATTGAGAATTTCTTAGATATACCCCTCTTGAGGTATCTCTTTTTAAAAATACCCCTATAAGGGAAGCATTTTTAAAACTACCCTCTTAAAGACTTTTAAGACAATTTTACCCTCCTAAATGACCTAAATACAGTTTCTCCTTTCTCTTCTCCTTTCTCTTCATCTTCACCGTCGTCTCTCGCCGTCGTCGTCCCTCGCCGTCGTCGTCCCTCGCCGTCGTCTTCTCTCGCCGTCGTCTTCTCTCGCCGTCGTCTTCTCTCGCCGTCGTCTTCTCGGCATCGGCGTCGTCTCTTCTCGGCGTCGCCGTCGTCTTCTCTCGCCGTCGTCTTCTCTCGCCGTCGTCTCTTCTCGGCATCGGCGTCGCCGTCGTCTCTTCGATCGATCGACGTCGTCTCTTCTCTCTATCGCCTTCGTTTCTTAATTACATATTTCCTGGTTCGTTTCCCAGATCTGATCACTACTTGATTAGATCTCATCACTTTTTCAACCAATATTGTTCTTCTTCCATGTACTTGTTATCTGTTGTTGAATTTTGAAGGATTTTTTTCATTGTTGTTTCTATTCTTATACCTTTTAAAATCCATTTAAAATCCATTTAAAATCCTTATAATTCATTTACTGACCACGTTTTCATTGTGATATTTCTTTGTTTTCGCAGGACTTAGTTTAGAGATGCTTGAACTGTATTCAGTTTGTGGAGTATGGAAGTTGAAGCATAATATTAAATGGGAATTTGAAATTGATGATGAGAGGGGAGTTTCTCTAATTAGTATTGATGAGGGAACTAGTTTTAGTGATTTGGTCAAAATTCTATACGAAGATTTTGCAATTGATAATCAGAAACACTCTCTAAAGCTTAGTTTGCAGTTGCCTTCTATGACTGCAACACTAGGTAGTCATCCAATTTTTATTAGAAATGATAGGCAACTGGCAACTTTTATGAGAATTTCTGCACAAACACAAAGTATTCATTTATGTGTTACTGTAGAGGATAACTGTGTCATAGTTGAGCAGGTATATTTTATTGATCTCTTTCTTAATTTTGCTTATAAATCATTACAATCTTTAGTGACTGTAGTGAACTATTTCTGCCTGTTTACTTTTCAGGATCAAACTAGCTCATATCAGTTTGTTGCAAGCGATTTATCTTCTGCTTCTCATTCTCAGGTAAACCTCTTTTAAAATTACTGTTTAAAACTTTTTAAAACCTTATAAAAATCATTTAAAACCCTTTTAAAACATTATAAACAAGACAAGTTGTTTGAAAACTCATCTATTATTCGGATACTGAATTTGTACTTTCAGGTTCCGACTATGCCTAATCCTCATGCTGCTACTTCTGGTCTTTTTACTTCCACTGAGGTACCTAGAACGTCTACAATCATTAATCAGCAGCCAGTTATATGTAACCAAACAACTTCTTTTGGGGCTATTGATGTTTCTTGTCCAAATCGTACTCATGTAATCTACTACTTTATAAAAGCCCTTTAAAAAAAATATTGTTTCAAATCATTATTAACTTATTACGTCTTTATTTTTCAGGATCAAACTAGCTCATATCAGTTTGTTGCAAGCGATGTATCTTCTGCTTCTCATTCTCAGGTAAACCTCTTTAAAAATTACTGTTTAAAACTTTTTAAAACCTTATAAAAATCATTTAAAACCCTTATAAAACATTATAAACAAGACAAGTTGTTTGAAAACAACATGGTTCTTATAAAGTCCTTATAAAACCCTTTTAAAAAAATTCTATTAAAAATCATATAAAAGGCTTTTAAAAGCTTTTGTAATTTTAATGCCTAGATTTATTAGGATACTGAATTTGTAGTTTCAGGTTCCGACAATGCCTAATCCTTTTGCTGCTACTGCTGGTCTTTTTACTTCCGCTGAGGAACCAAGAACGTCTACTATCATTAATCAGCAGCCGGTGATACGTAACCAAACAACTTCTTTTTGGGCTACTGATGTTTCTTGTCCAAATCGTACTCAGGTAATCTACTACTTCAGATAACGTAACCTTATAATGTTTATAAGTTAGATTGAAAACAACTTGGTTCTTGTAAAGTCCTTATAAAAAGCTTTTAAAATCCTTATAAACAGCTTTTAAAATCATTTTAAAAATCAATTAAAAATCGTATAAAACGTTTTTAAAAGCTTTTGTAATTTAATGCATAGATGTACTTTCAGGTTCAGACAATGCCCAATCCTCCTGCTCTACTTGATGTTGGTTCTTTGTTTTGCGGAAAGTTATTCAAAAGCAAAAAAGAAATGACTACTCAGCTGCGGATGTATGCGCTGAAAAACAGTTTTGAGTTTCAGACTAAGAAGTCGGACAACAAGAGATATGTTCTGAATTGCATTGATGAAAACTGCAATTGGAAGTTACGTGCTATTAGAGTTAAAGGATCAGATGGTTTTATCATTCGAAAATATATCAGTTTGCATAGTTGTGACTCTACATTAAGGAATGTAAATCATCGTCAAGCAGATGCAAAGACATTGGGTGGAATGGTTAGCAACCATTTTCAAGGAGGAAAGCTTCCACTCAGACCCAAGCAACTAATAGAAATCTTCAGAAAGGATCATGGAGTTGGGGTGTCGTACTCAAAAGCATGGAGAGCTCAAGAACATGCAACAGAAGTTGCTAGGGGTTTACCTTCTGATTCTTTTGAGGTTCTTCCTAAGTGGTTCCACATGGTAGCAATGAAGAATCCAGGCACTGTCACTTTTATCGAAGTAGATTCTGCTAATAAGTTTAAGTATGCTTTTCTCGCCTTTGGTGCATCTATTCGAGGTTTTAAGTTGATGAGGAAAGTCATTTCTATCGATGGCGCCCATTTGAAATCAAAGTTTAAAGGGACTTTGCTTGCTGCTTCTGCTCAAGATGGGAATTTTAATCTATATCCTATTGCTTTTGCTGTTGTAGATTCAGAGAATGACGCATCTTGGAACTGGTTTTTGCGTTGTTTGAAGACCTTTATTCCAGACGAAAATGATCTGGTTTTTGTATCAGATCGCGCAGCTTCAATTGAATCTGCTCTTGCAGCAAATTACCCCCAAGCTCATCATGCACTCTGCACTTTTCACTTGCAGAAAAACCTTGAAACAAACTTCAAAGGTTCTACACTTATTCCTGTTTTTTACGACGCTTCACGGGCCTACACTACACAGCTGTTTGAGTACCTCTTTGCTCAAATATCCGTAGCCGATGAAAAATTGGGGGCATACCTTTGGCAAGTAGATGTTCGGAAATGGGCTCGTGCAATGTCGCCTTCAAATAGGTACAATATCATGACATCAAACTTGGCTGAGTCTGTGAATTCTTTGTTGAAAGAGACACGTGAGTACCCAATTGTATGCTTGTTTGATACAATCCGCTCTATTATGACAAGATGGTTCCATGAACGACGAGAAGAGAGCTGTCGACATCCGTATGCAGTTACTTCAAACGTGTCACAGATTATGAATTCTTCGTATAATGATTCTTCCCGCTGGCTTGAAGTCTGTCCAGTAAATCAAAATATATTTGAGGTTAAAGGAGGTGAACAATTGCATGTGGTGAATTTGGATGCTAGAAGTTGCACATGTCGTGTGTTTGATATCGACAGGTTCCCCTGCGCACACGCAATCGCTGCTGCAAAACATGTTAATCTCAACGAAAACATGTTTGTTGATGATTTTTATTCCACTGATAGGTAATAACAGTTTTTATAAGGTTTTTATATGGTTTTTATATGGTTTTATCAAGATTTTTAATGTTTTATATGGTTTTTATAAGGTTTTTATATGGTTTTTATAAGGTTTTATATGGTTTTATAAATATTTTTAATGTTTTATAAAGTTTTTATAAGGTTTTATATGGTTTTTATACGGTTTTTATAAGGTTTTTATACGGTTTTTATAAGTGTTTAATAAGAAAGTTATATGATTACAGATGGCGTTTATCATATTCGGAAAGCATTTACCCAGTAGGTGATATGACGTATTGGGAGATTCCAGAGACTATTTCTAATTTCGTCAGCCGGCCACCTTCAACTCGTATACCTAGTGGCAGGCGGAAGAAAAAGAGAATACGTTGTTCATGGGAGCATGGAAGGTCTACGACCAAAAAAAAGGCATACAAATGCAGCAGGTGTGGCCAGTCTGGACACAACAAATCCAGTTGTGTAGCTGCTATCTAATTCCTTATTTAATTCATCTTGAATTTGTTATTCTTTAGACAATGTTTTACAAAAGTTATTATCATATTTTATGATTATCATTTTTTATAAGGTTTTTATAAAGTTTTTATACTGCATTTATGAGTACCATTTTTTGTATAAAGTTTTATGATTTTCATTTTCAATATGGACTTTATAAGGTTATTATAAGGTTTTTATAAGGTTTTTACAAGGGGTTTAACAATTTCCATTCCCTTAGCACCTTTGCAACATAGATATCATTAACCACAAACTTCAAAATCTAGATAAATGCAGCAGAATACAAAGAAACAGCAACCTAGCAATGCACTAACACAATAAAGTGTTAAATTTACTTAACATTTCAAAGATCTTAAATAACATTTAACAAGTTGCAAATCACCAAAATAGAAGGTTTACTAACTGATCCACCCCAAAGAAAACTCAATAATAAGTATATGTCCCTCTCCATCTGCAATAAAAAGAGTTCATGTTAGATAACGGTAAGATTGTAAACAAAAGTATCAAAAAGTTACATTACTGACCTTTAATGTTGAAAACATTCTGCTAGCAAGGTATTTCACTTGTGCAGTGGCATCAGTTGGCACTTTGTCAGGATGAAGAATTAACATTGCATTTCTTATCGCTTTTTGACATGATGTTCCATTTTTAACTCAGATTCAGTGACTCTTTTCCATTTAGCCCCTGGCCAAAGCATCTAAAATGTAGAACATCCAAATCACATAAGTATTTAGCAACTATTATAACAAATATATGATTTTAACATACTTACTGTATGCAATGTTGCAAGCATATCTAGAATACCCTTCATTGCCCAATTTTTGACTCTTGCCTCGATTCCTTGTATTTCTTCATCAGATAGTGAACTCAGCGGTGTAGAAGCTGTTGGCACTAATACAAATATAAAAATATAGTATTTTAGATCAACTATAACACACATTTAAACTTTTTAAAAATTTCAACAACTTACAACTGGTCTGTTCCTGGCTGGCCTCTTCTTGTTGTGTAGAAGGTTCTTCTTGTTGGCTGGCCTTTTCTTGTTGTGTAGAAGCTTCTTCTTGTTGGCTGGCCCCTTGTTGTGTAAAAGCTTCTTCTTCTTGCTCTTGTTGTGTAGAAGCTTCTTCTTGTTGGCTGGCCTCTTGTTGTGTAGGAGCTTCTTCTTCTTGATTAACATTTTCATTATCTGAATGATGAATAAACTCTTCATCATCAGATATAATTATGTATGCTTCTTGGGTAGAATAATCATCAGGGAAGTCGCTTCTATCCTTTCTCAAATCATGTTGCTCTTCAACTTCTTCAGGATTAACCTATAACATTATAAAAACGTTTTTTACAAGTGTTTTATATGATTTTTATAAAAAAACTTTATATTCAAGAAATACTTACCTTATCATTTTCATCATGTGTATGCTCCTCAGGGAAGTCATTTCCTTCCTTTCTCAAATCATGTTGATCATCATTCCTTTCTTCAGGAACCTATAACATTATAATGGATTTACAATGTTATAAAACCCTTTCAATGCTTATAAACTCTCTTATCCCCGTATAAAAAAACCTTATAAAAACCTTATAAAACCCTTATAAACGCTAATGAAATATTTTTGTAAACATTCTTATAAAATCCTTATAATAAACTTACCTTATCATTTTTATCATGTGTATGCTCCTCAGGGAAGTCATTTCCTTCATTTCTCAAATCAGGTTGATCATCATTCATTTCTTGAGGAACCTATAACATTATAATGGATTTACAATGTTATAAAACCCTTTCAATGCTTATAAACTCTCCTATCCCCGTATAAAAAAACCTTATAAAAACCTTATAAAAACCTTATAAAACTCTTAAAAAACCCTTATAAACGCTAATGAAATATTTTTGTAAACATTCTTATAAAATCCTTATAATAAACTTACCTTATCATTTTTATCATGTGTATGCTCCTCAGGGAAGTCATTTCCTTCCTTTCTCAAATCAGGTTGATCATCATTCATTTCTTCAGGAACCTATAACATTATAATGGATTAAGATTGGTTGTAAAACCCTTTTAAAACTCTTGTAAAAGCCTTATAAAACTCTTGTAAAAAACGTTATATATAGTGTTTTATATGGTTTTTATACAAATAATACTTACCTTATCATTATTTTCCTGCCAATGCTCCTCAGGAATGTCACTTCCTTCATGTTGGTGATAATCATTCACTTCTTCAGGTACCTATAAGCATTTATTTTATTTTTAAAAATCATGTAAAAAGAAGAACATAATCTATTATAAACGATTCCTAAAAACAATTTTCAAACTTACATATGCCCTAGAAGAGGATGGTTGGTCTTTGTTTTCAAACCCCCATTTTGGTGTTTGATTGACTTTGGCAATTCCAACATGATTTTCCAATCTTGTAATTCTGTTGTTAATATCTTGACATAATCCAAGAAGCATCTCAATGTTTTCACTTACAGATTTTCTTCGGTTTTTCTTCGGTTGTTCTTGAACATGAGGGTCTCTTACACGCCTCTTTTGACCTTGTCCTCCTTTAGCAACACTGATTGATCCTCGAATCCATTCCTCCATTGTCATCCTATATCCTTTGATAACAACATTAACAACTTCATTGAAGTCTTCATCAATCTGTGGCATAACCAAATGGCTATGTTCATTCGGGTCGCCAACAATCGTTTTCACTTCAATCTGCAGGAAACAACCATATAAAAACCATATAAAAAGCATATAAAAAGCATATAAAAAGCATATAAAAACCATATAAAAACCATATAAAAACCATATAAAAACCATATAAAAACCATATAAAAACCATATAAAAACCATATAAAAACCATATAAAACCCATATAAAACCCAAAAAAAGAAAACTTACAAATGTCGTTTTCCCCATGACATCCACGATTTCGTTGAATTTTGGAGCTTCTAATGATTTCCAGTTAGAGTATAGAGGATAGACACACTCTGACGTGTCGTTGCATACAGCATATTTGCTTCCAAACAGAGGTACAGCACTTAATGCCCATATTAACAAAGCCAAAGGAAAACTTTTGACTTCATATTGGCCTTTCGCCCACGTATTTGCATCCATCCTTCTTATACTTGTTGCTAAGATGTTGTAGGCTTCCTTTCCCCAAGCCAAAGAAGTATACGCCTTGAAATCGGATGCAATCTCAAGTCTTGACGAGGGGATACTCTGTGTGGAATTAGGAGTCATGAGTATTCCCTCTGTCAGGATGACCGCTGCAAGACAAAGCTTCTCATCTTCTCCTGGCGGTGCTTCTGGGTTACCAAACAGATAAGCCTGCAATTTTTTCAGAGTCAAATCTTTTCGCTTTGTCCAGCTGTACGGGTCCCCTTTCCTCCTTTGATCTATATCAAGCTGTTCACATTGAATACCTGTGTTATATCAAACAACGAGGTTAGTGTTTTCAATATACTCAAAGAATTTGTACATACGTTTCAATACTTTAAAACCAATGAAATCCTTGTAAAAACCTTATAAACAGCTTATAAAACCTTATAAACCCGTAAAAATTCTTTTTAAAAGGCTTTTATAAACATTTTAAAAAGCTTCAAAACCCATTTTAAAAGCTTTTAAACCCATTTTAACTGTTTTCAAGTTGTATTATAAAAGCTTCTAAACCCATTTTATAAGCTTTTAAATCGTAACCTTATAAGAACCTTATAAAACCTTATAAAAACCTTATAAAAAACTTATAAACAAGTTTTCAAAGAATTCGTTTATTTTCACATTCAAATGATATGTATATAACTTATAAAAACCTTATAAAAACCTTATAAATTTTTTTTATAACTGGCAGAAATTAAACAAAGATGTAAAATATATATGGAATACCTATTAAAAACCTTATAAAAACCTTATAAAAAACTTATAAACAAGTTTTCAAAGAATTCGTTTATTTTCACATTCAAATGATATGTATATAACTTATAAAAACCTTATAAAAACCTTATAAAAACTTTTTATAACTGGCAGAAATTAAACAAAGATGTAAAATATATATGAAATACCTG